CGATGACTAATGAATTTGAATATCTGCGTCTCAAATCGTGACGCGAAATTCTCATTGGTCAGATGTTATAATTTATATGTTTCCGCTGAGCTCTATATATGTCAACTGCTGAAGCATTATGCATAAAAAACACATTAACTGATCAAATTGGTTTTGGCCATCTTATCTCAAAGCACAAAATGTTCTGTTTTGAGAAAACAGTATTTAAAACATTTGAACTTTTGCTTGAATATCTTATATTTCGAAAAACAGTATGAACTGTACAGTTTAAATTTAGTTTGCACGATCTAAATTTAGTTTGCACGAAAGTTGTAAACAACACCATATAAGGATAGACATTCCATGACATAGTCATCGATGCAGGCTCTCAATTCAGCTTGAGAGCCTGTTCGCAGGCTACCGCCTCTGAGGCATCAAAGCTATTTATAGATGCATTAATTAAGTAAATATTCAAAATTAGCCACTCCCAAGTTGCTCCCAAGTCCCAACTGCCCAACATAAAATAAATTCCTTGATTCTCATCACCGCCCGACTGAATTTTAAAATCCTCGTTAAAATGTTTTATATTTCGTTATACAATATAAATGTACTGCCCGACAAAATAATTCAAGACAGTTATTTTTTTTATATTTTATATAGGGTTTTTATTGCCATTTCAAAAACTCATTAATAATTCATGAAGCAATTATCCAATCTTGAGTAAGAAATTAGTCACGTGCATACGTCTTTATACCAGCTAAAGAACACTTTAACAAAAGACCATTGTTATGCAAACTATATAAAGGTTTTTATATAAAGAATTTTATATAAAGATTTTTGTATAAAGATTTTTATATAAAGATTTGACTTATTATGCATACGTTTTTGAAGTCATTTAAAAAACTCGCGGGTCGTGTTTTATTAGGTCTAAAGCCACTCGCGCTGCGCGCTCGTGGCTTTAAACCTAATAAAACACTCCTGCTCGTTTTTTAAATAGTACTTTAAACTTCCAATTTGAACCAAACAGAATTTTGAATGAAATTTCATTGTATTTTAAAGAAACTCAGTCATTCTGTCATTGTTCGTGGAGATACGAACTATTGATGTATAAATTATATAAATATCAAATATAAAAAATAAATCTCCCACTGTCTTCGACATTCCAAAGTGTAGACTGTGTCTAGTGATAAGAATCAAGGAATTTATTTTATGTGTTAATATAAACCAAGCCCGTTTAGCTGCCTTAAAACGGTGGTTTATTAAGCTCAAAATACAAAGCATGCAAGTCTATACTATAGATTCATCATCAGTCAACAACCAAACTGAAAGTTTTGAACCTTAAATACTGCATCAACCGGCCCCTAGTTTATACTTGGAGATTCGTATATCTATCAAGTATCTTTGGTTCAGAACATGATAGCCTATATGAAAATCCCACCGTTCGATTCAGTGAAGAAATATTTCCTAATTTCTATCGATAGTTTTAGTAAAATGTCAACATTATTGCGATTTATGGCCTTTGAAAGTCAAGCGAGATCATATATTATCAAATTAATACGCATGTAATTGTCTGAACGAAAATATAGACTAGCCCATACCTTTCGCCGATCATATAAACTTCGGCCCCTTCGGACGTATCTTCTTTGTTAAATATTCTTGTTCGAATCGCTATCAAAAACACTAATTAGAGTGTTATTTTTCAGCTTGTATCTTTAAATTTGCTTTTTATTATGGTATTCCATTTCTGGTCTGACTTGACGTGAACTAATTTCAAAACGCGGAGTCTCAAAACGTCAAAACATTTGGTTAATGATTAACATTTAACCGAATTTAGCCGTTGATTGACAACTACATAAAAATACCAACCAATCCGTTTTTTCCGTTCACCAGCGGACGGGTAATTCAAAAACCCCTAGTTTTGCGGCAGACGGTATTTCCTTTGACTCCCTAATTTTCTCTTTCTGTAGAAATACCGCCGGCCACGCAGGCTATGTATTAGTCAAATGAGTAGACTTGCCGCAAGTCGACCTCGAACGAAATGCGTTTCTTCGAGGTCGACTTGTGGCAAGTCTAGCAAATGAGAACCATACAATATATTTTGAACGCACGCTTTATCTTTAGTATAGCTACCGCAAAGCTTTTCGCGCGGATTATATTTGCGGAGTATAGACGGCTGGCCAAGTCATCATTTTGTACAACTGGATGGCAACTTTATGTTAGAAGCTGGTAACAGGCATTTTCTTATATTTCAAGCCTTGGTGAACAAGACCATATGTGTTACCACTTCTGATTTTTGCTTTATAGCCAAAAATTTGAGAATTTTTAAATTTTGCCTATTAAATTACTATGATCGGGAAAAATGTAAAATCTCATGTTCTCTTATACGAAAAATAAACTATACCACTAGAGAGAGCGTAAAAAATTATATATAAGACAATTAAATGAGTTCTACATTTTTCCAATCCTATTTAGAGTTTTTGATGCTAAAAAATGCAGAAATGACCAAATTAATGCTAATTAGTACCCATTTTGCCAACTTTAACCATCTTTAATTCAAAATCTGCTTGAAAATCGCGCTAGTCGCTTAATTATCTTATATATAGTTTTTTGCGATCTTTCTAGTGGTATAGTTTATTTGTTGTATAAGAGAACATGAAATTTTACATTTTTTGCCATCAGTAATTTAATAGGAAAAATTTTTAAATTCTCAAATTTTTGGCTATAAAGCAAAAATCAGAAATGTTAACACACACAGTCTTATTCACCAAGGCTTGAACTATAAGAAAATGCCTGTTACCAGCTTCTAACATAAAGTTGCCATCAAACTCTCTTTAGAGGCACTTTTTGGCACCTTGGCCGGTCGACTAGTACTAAAATTTCAGCGGCCAGCGTTACGCGAATTCTCTTAATTCTAGTACTGTTCGGATTTTAATACATGTATTGAAAGGTATATTGTCGACATTTGACTAAAACTATCGTAAGGAATTAGGAGAGTTTGTCCTTGTTTATGTTCCATTATATCGTATAAATTCGCTGGGTACAAATTTATGAAATTTTGAGGTTTTCGAGCCGTTTAATTTAATACAAAAAGAAAAACATTAATTCATCAGGCAAGAAAGTCCAGAGTGCGACGCAAAAATTAACACAAGTACACAACGGATGTTATGAGTCCAGGACGTATATTTATGGTTGTTTATTAAAAAGTCAAACTGTCAAACCTTTAACTTGTCCTTGTTTAAATATCCTTCTATATATTGTATAAATTCGCTGGGTCCAAATTTTGTGGTTTTCGAGTCGTTACACAAAGAAAAACACATTAATTCAATACGCAAGAAAGTCCAGAGTACGGAACAACGTAAAATCCATAGGAAACCGGTGCAATTCTTTGAAAATTCAACAAAACTGTGTAAAATATAGTTTGATCACTCTGTGAAAAGTTGCTATTGGAGTTCGGAATTGTGCGCGTGCATACAAGTGTATGGGCTAATAAACGAAAAATGTACCACAAGCAAGGCATGAGTCGACTATTACGTACATAAATACGAGCTTATTACTATACTATGTAAATCATGGAACCGAGGGAATCGTTAGCATTTTGGCTTAATCGTTGCACCCTGAGCCTGCGACGAGCTAACGCAAACTCCATTTCTCGAGTACGAAAAAAAAAACAGAAAAAGAGGGATTTAAGACGCTTGGCCTACAGGCCAGTGTAATAAGAGAAAATTTGCGTATCGAAAGACATGTTTCACACGATTTTCTGAATCGAGACGTTTCATGCCCTCAGATATTTTCAAAAAATTATACAAGCTTTTAAAGTGAGCTATCTAAATTGGGAGAAACGGTAGAATTTTATTCAATAAATTATCTTATTCAACGCATTGCCGAGTTGAACAACAATTGCGGCGTTTTTAGAAAAAAATGTTTTGGCCCTTTCTGGATTTCCCTGTCAAACGTGAACAAGATTTTCACGAGAGTTGATGAGAGTTGACTAGATATTAGTCAAACGAGCAAAAACTCTTATCAACTCTCATCAAAATTTGAACCAGTACAAATTCGATGAAAATTGACGAGAGTGAATGAAAGTCGATGTGAGTTCGCTGTCAAACGCGAGTTACAGTTAACTCTCTCATCAACGCTTGACAATGCAGGAGGAAACCTAAAATAACCTAATAATATTCATACTCGGGGCCGCCGAGAGAATTCGCGGTGCCTGGGACAAATCTTCTCTAGGGGCCCATGGCATCATTATCTTTAAGCAGACCAACGTCAATCGCCCAACTAGACCTTAGCTAGACTGCATATCGAACTACTGTAAGGGGCCCTCAATTTCAAAAATTCTCTGACCAACTTAAAGAACGTACTCAATTTTGGTTTTTCACTTTGAAGTTGGGGTTAATTTTAGGCTCTCGTTATTAAGATGGGGGCCCAGGACAATCCCCCCCCCCTGCTCCCCCCCCCTCTCGGCGGCCCTGTTCGTACTGTATTGCTCTTTCAGTTCTAAACTGTCCTGTCTAGAGAGAACAGTTTAGAACTGAAAGAGCAATACAGTATTAATAAATTATAGGTTAGTTTAGGTTTCTTCCTTCATGTGATAACACTGGAAAATAACGTGTAACTTGTCAAGCACTCTACTTGTTAGATCAATATAGTCACAACAAATCCGAGTAAAGAACAATTTATTTGGTAGAAGTGTTTATAATACAGGTTGCGTTATATTAATTAACCGCAAATATTCTGCTTTCGCATGTAAAGCAACGTCCGCGCGCACGCTACAAACGAGTGGCTCTTAAGGCCGTTTTCCACTAGGCGTAATTTTTCGCCCGGAGCGGAATTTTTCTTTGTCTTGTGATTTCTCGGGTGGAACTAATTAGAATAGACAAAAAGAAATTCCGCTCCGCGCGGAAACTTCCGCCTAATGGAAAACGGCCTTTACTGCGCCGGTCCAGGTGGAACAGTTTAGAACTGATAGACCTGTTCAGTAAATACAGTTAGCTTAGTTTTAGTTCATCTTGAACTCTTGATTTTTTTCTTAGTTCCGTATGGACTACGCAATCTACCTCGTGATATGGTGCAACGACCATCAGAAGTGGGCAAGATATTGGGATTACTTATGCAGGGAAATAATAGAGTTTGTGTGGTCGGGGTTCGTAGTGGCGATGTTTTTGGTATTCGTGGTATGGGGGGCCTCGGTAAGACCGTCTTAGCCCTGGCTGTTGCTTGGGCTGCCTCAGATTCTCGTCAGGTTATCTGGCTGGACATTGGTGAAACTCCGGACTGCTTAGCACTGATTAACATCCTTATTAAAGTTCTTGGTGGCGGAGCTGTATCGTTCAGTGATATCCCCGCTGCACAAGCCTGGATCAGAGCAAATACGGTACGTATATGCATTGTTTAATCCTCTCTGTAATTCTCATTAAGGCTATGTGAAACGGAACGATTTTCAGTGACAGTTTGTAATACGTTACACGGAATTTGATTGATTCGGTAAGGCAAGGCAAGGCAAGGCCAGGCCAGGCCAGGCAAGGCATTGCCGTAAGAATCGTTGTTGCAAATTGTCTTGTGTAACATCATCTTCAATAATTGTGGGGAAAAGCAAAATAAATCATGACCTCTAAGAAATTCTGCTGATTCATATAAGCTGCAAGTCCCTTTTTCTCACCAAATCTAATTAATATATTTAAGATAATTTGAAGAATACAAACATTTTCAAACAAACTATGTACAGCATTCCGGCATTCACGTCCGCGTGTTGTATAAGATAGGCTCATAAACAACTGCAGTCCTGCTTGTATACGGCTGTTATTGTCTTGTGCTGTACAACAATATGACATATGATATTGATTTGCTTGTGCATCAACTTGTCCCGTAAGCCTTCGTCAACCAACGATGACAGTTGATGAGAATTGGCAAGCGAGAGTTTGTGTGAGAATTTTCTCAACTCTCATGTCCCGGACAAACAAAAGTAGGAGTTACATGGGAGTTGATGAAAGTTCAATGGATATGACCAAGGGTAGCAAAAACTGTCATCAAAATTTCAACTAGCTTAAAGTTGATGAGAGTCGATGAGAGTTGCAGTAATATGCAAGCGAGAGTTGCAACTCTCATCAACTCTCATCCTCGTTTGACCTGATTAAATTATCCCGAACATGAGATTGTCAGCAGATATGGTTTTCATACCTTGTTTGCAATGTATTGCAGAGTGATAAAGATTGTTTAGTCGTCCTTGATGATGTTTGGAGTGTTGACGACGTTGCTGTGTTTGATCACCTATCTGGGAAATGCCAATTATTAATAACTACTAGAGATGCTCACGTTGTCAACGGCTTAGAAGGTTCTGCGTACGAACTAGAAACTATGGCAACGGATCAATCCCGAGCGCTCTTGTATCAAAGTGCCCGGGTCGAATCAGACGAACTGTCTACGTTTAGTCCAGAAATGCACCAGATTGTTGAAGAATTGTTAAACCAGTGCCGAGGACTACCGCTGGCTCTGTCGCTAGTAGGCTCAAATTTAATCGACACTCGCTTACAACAAGACTGGCAAGATGTATTGGGGTACTTTCAAAAGGCTGGCTTGGAACAATTACACTCACAGTTTCCCACTGTGACGTATCCTTACGATAACATCTTAGCAGCCATTGATGCTAGCTTTCAACGTTTGAGGAAAAGTGAACGAGAGAAATTCCTTGATTTTGGTATATTTCCAGAAGATATAAATATAGCGACAGATATCCTCGAGCTGTTTTGGTCTTCGAAAGAAGTAGGGAGAACATCGTGCAGCCCTCAAGAAGGGAGATGTATACTTAAGGCACTTGAGAGGAAATCATTGATTCAAAAAGGTACATGGGGGTGGGGATACATAACGAAATGGCAAGTGTATTCTTTAAATGGCCCCTGTATATATGAAATGCGGGATGAGATGTTTTCCAGGGTGCGATGTTGATTGGGATTGGGCATGTGTATAGTTCCCTCATATTTATTGCATTCTGTTTACATGGAAGCGAGACGCTTTTCGTTCCGTCCCGGCAAGGTGAAATCCCGGTTTAACAATCGGGATCCTGCTTGGGACGGGACGTTTTCACCATAAAAATGCTCCATTCCGCAACCGGGAAAATGTTAATTTCTATATAGTGACATTTATTGCAGGTTTTCGGCCACTGAGTTTCCTGGTTCGTGTTTTTCGTCAGTATAAGGTAAAATACGTGTACCCTGTATCACGTAAATTGTGAAAGCATAATGTTTTATTAACATTTCAAGACTGCTTTTGAAGGTTATCACCGATTGATTAAAACTAAATTCAAACTTTTAGTTAAAATTTCACATTCACTCGAGAAATTATTTGTGACTCGGTAAGGTAGATTTAACATTTTCCAAATAAACCAAATGCTAGTTTATTTCAGGTTTGCGGTTTTCATTAGGACAAAAATACTGTATTTTTAGTAGCGTACTTTCCAAATTTAGAACTGCATTTTCAATAACCATTGTCCCGATTAATACAAGTGACGATCTGTCCATCTGACGGGTCACACATTGTTTAGTAGACCAGACCAATGGACCAGACCAAGTAGCCAAAATAACGTGATCTATACTGGAAATGGTTTTCGGAATAAATGGGACTATTTGAAATAATTTTCGAAATAAATAGTTGCTGCCAAGCAGACTTTTCTTGGCACTGACAACGTTTCTCCCAATCTTGTACCCAGAGAAATCATCGTTGACTCTGGGCACCAGATTGCGTTTCTCCAGAGTTCACTAGGCCCAGTCTTTCGCGCGATCTATATATTGCTTATTGCATCTACTATTTCTATGATATATTATCGCAATGTTGATTTTGCGTCCATTAGCTAGATACCCGTATGTTTGTTCCAATTAGCGAACGTTATAGACGGACGCGCAAATGTTGGGAACTTGCAATTAGCAAATTCAATTAGCAGACGTATAATAAACCGAAAAATAGACGGAAATTGTACGCTCGCATTATCTGACTATCTGACTTATTTGGAATATATTGTCATGGAATATATTGACACTACATGTAAAATGTATTTGTTTGTTTTTGTTTGCAGATTCCAGTGAAAAGCAGCGCCCCTTCATGATGTTTTCGGCATTTTAAACAGCACGAAATAGTCCAATTTGTCCCCAGGCTTTTTCCCATCCATCTTTTGAGAGCGTCGAGTTTGAAGCAGTACTTTTAATTCCTTGCGATAGTAACTTTTTGTTTAATACAGTGTTTACACACCGTTGTGTATAAAAACTTGTCAAGATGATCTTCACGCATCACAGAAGCCTATCTGAGTGGAATAAATAAGTAGATAGTTCATCTTCACTGATGATTTGTCTGTTTTTTGCATTTATACGCAGATAAATTATCATGCGAACTATCTCTTTTTTGTCCAAGTATATCCAGTGCCCGGTTGTACAAAGACCGCATAGCGCTATCCACCGGATAGTGATTCTTCAACCTTCGTAAACGTGCATAAAAAGCTGTGAAGCTACAGATATAGACCTCACAATAATTATAAAAACTCTTTTAATGAATAATTACTGAACTTTATTTAATCTTGATTATACTATTGAACAGACACTTTTAGAAAATTTGAAACAATAACTATCCGTTAAATAACGCTATCCGGCCTTTGTACAACCGACCCCAAACTGATAGTCCACCTCTAATACAAATGGGGTTACTAACATGAACGCTCCCCGTCGACCTTTTTCAGGACCTGAACTCCAAGGGAAGACAAGCTACCGTGTCCATGATCTACTCTTAGAATTTGCTCGGCAGAAACTTCAAGCCACTGGCACACTAACTGATGTCCAGCGCGTGTTCGTGAAAATACTTCGTGGCCAATGCGTGAATGGTGAATGGACTACTACTTCAAGTCTCTCCCAAAGAGACTATTATTTCAAGTACCTACCCTATCACATATTCTCCTCCGAACAACATAGTGAATTAATTCAACTATTGTTCGACTTTCACTGGCTCGAACAAAAAGTGAAACACACGAATGTTCCCTCCCTAATATCAGATTTTCGTTTTCTGGATACGCCCTTGCAGCACGAAATCAAACTTCTCAAAAAGTCGTTAATGTTATCTGCCGACGCCATCGAGAAAAACCTGAGTTCCATTGGTCCGCAATTGCTAGGTAATAAAAATAATGTAGCTTTCTTTGGCTTACCTTTCTTTCGCTTACCTTCAAACACTCATAAATAATTCATAACGTTATTGGAAAATCATGTCAACCATAATATGTCATGTGCAGTGGCTTTAAACCTGATAAAACACTCCTAATTAGTATTCTTTATATAAAGAAACTAATAAGGCAGTATGTATTGTAGTTGTGTCCTCATTAGTATTCTTTATATAAAGAATACTAATAATTTGGAATTCCTTAAAACCAGAACTTGGGGCCTACGAAACAACGAAAGACTTCAAACATATTTTAAAACAGAGACTTGTAGAAACATTTAAATTTAGGACCAATCTTAACACATTTTGATGTAAATAGCATATATATTTGTGTAATACCAGTGTGTGTGTGTGTGTGTGTGTGTGTTGTGTGTTGTTATGTGTGTGTCTCTATTATTATGGTGTATAAAAAATTAGATCAATTATGTAAAATTTAGCTGAAAAGCCTTTTAAGGGATGTGAAATTAAAATACAATAACAATAACAATAACAAGGCAGTATATCTATTGCATTTGTAGTCGTGTTTGCAGCCGTTTAATAAACTCGCAGGTCGTGTTTTATTAGGTCTAATAGCTAAAGGTCGCTAAAGCCTAAAACACTCCTGCTCGTTTATTAAACAGTACTTAATAGTTTTTGTTTGTGGAAACACCACGTAAATTTATTACTGCAAAGCTTTCGATCCGTAAGCCCGGATCTTCATCAGTGATAATAATATGTCATAATATACATATTATTAGTACTGATGAAGATCCGGGCTTACGGATCGAAAGCTTTGCAGTAATAAATTTACGTGGTGTTTCCACAAACAAAAACAATTATATTTTATCGCCATGCAAACATTCAAAGAACTTAGTACTTAATAGGTTAACTTATATAGTTCTATCAGTTTTAAACTGCCTGTGTACAGTCAGAGTTATTTCTTAATAAATGGTGCAGTTTTACTGCAGCAGGAAATAGAACTTTGCTTATATTGAATAGCTCTGCCAGTTTTAAACTGTTCTTCCTGGAGGCGTATGTAGTCAGGGCCACTCCTTATTGGTGCAGTGTACTGCACGAGGAAACCTAAACTAATCTAACTTTACGTATTCTGGGTAGCTCTATAATCGACGACCGGCCAACACTCTGAAAGGTGCACTCTGATGGGATTTTTTGTTACAAGCTGTCAACTAGCATTTTCTTATAGCTTACCCATCGGTTAACAAGACTATATATGTTGGCACCTCTGATTTTGGCTTATATAGTTGAAAATTTCAGAATTTTAAAATGTTGCTTAATAAAGTACTATGTTGACAAAAATACAAAATTTCAAATTCACTTTTCACAAAGATAATCCATACCATTAGAACGATCGAGGAGAAATATATATAAGACATTTTTAGCAAGTATTCAAGCCGGTTTTGAGTTAAAGGGGCATAAAGTTGGAAAAATAATAACTATCGGGGTCAATTGGCGCATTTTCTGCAACTGATTGGCTACACAAATCATACTACTCGCTTAAATGTCTTATATATACTTTCTTGCAAACCTTCTAATGGTATAGTTTATATTTGTTAAAAGTGAAGATGTAATTTTGTATTTTTTTCATCGATAGTGCTTTTTATAAAAAAATTTTCAAATTCTCAAATTTCTCATCTATAAAGGCCAAATCAGAGTTGCCAATATATATAGTCTTGTTCGTTAATACATATACTTTCTGAAAATGTCAGTTGGCAGCGTGTAACAGAAAATGCCATAAAACAAATTTTGGCCGGCCGTCTGTAAGTTCGTAAGGGTCAATCCATTGTTTCTAGAAGTGGAACCAAAGTTCCCAGAGAAAACGTGAGAACTATATATTTGCATATTCGATCAAAGAGTATTTATAATCAGACATCTGCACACTGCAGGAATCGAAGCCGAGGCATTAACCACTGTGCCACCAATACCTATTTTTTTAAATTTATGTAATTTTTTCAAGAGCGTAAATCTTCTGCACTAGTATTATAAATAGTATTATATACACAATGCTGAAACTGTTGTATATTTGTGTTCTAGGTAGGTTGCTATCGTATGCCAGTGACGAATGCCCGAGCGTGAAGAAGCTGTTAGAGGACGTCCGTGAAACAAGCCGGAAGACTTTCCATATTTTACCATTATTTTCCTGCCTCAAACTTGAAGGGGCAGAGATATTTAAAAAGAACGTTGGTTCTGAAGTATGTTCATTAGCAACGTCCAATAGTTCAACTGGCACTATTGTCATTTCTGGTTTGGTTAACGGTTCGATCCACATCCATGAACTAGAGACAGGTATGTAGCTGTATGGTAAAGATAAAACAGAAAGCAAAGTTTGGGAGTTTTAACCATCTTTCCTTACAGCTGGGTCCTGAATAGCGAAGGACACAGCTCAAGGAACTAGCGAAGGACACAGCTCGCTGGTAGGAAACAGCGAGTAGTCATTGATGGAGAATGTTCTAATTGGCAAAATACCCAGGCAGGGGTCCCCCAGGGGTCTGTATTGGGCCACTGTTGTTTCTTATATATATATATATATATATTAATGATATTGTTAATAATATTTCAACTGAATGTTTTCTATTTGCCGATGACTCTTTATTGCTTGACGAGGTAGAGTCACCTGTCGATTCGGCTAGGAAAATAAATTGTGAGCTTAGTTCGATCTCTACGTGGGCTGACCGGTGGCTTGTCACAATGAATGCCGAAAAAACAGAAAGTATAATCTTTTCAGCTAAAAAAGACAAGCCAATTCATCCTTCTCTCTATTTATCAAATGTGTTAATCAAAGAGGTTTTTCAGCATGAGCATTTAGGCGTTACACTTACATTTAATCTTTAATGGCGTTCTCACATTTTAAAAATCCATCAAAAAGCCTCAAAACGTTTAAATATGCTTAAACCTATGAACCAGGAAAACACTTGATACCTTGTATAAATATCTGGTTCGTTCATGCTTGGAATATGCAGATATTGTTTGGGATGGTTGTAACGAAACTGATAATGATCTTCTTGAACAACTCCAGTATGAAGCAGCTAGATTGGTTACGGGTGCTATAAAGGGAACATCTCGTGAAGGA